CCCCCCCCCCTCGACGTCACCGAGGGAGGATGATTTCGAGGTAGCAACTCCGCGATCGCGCTCCAGAGAGAGAGAGAGAGTCTCGAGTGATGTTTGATAATTACGAATTATCTCGAACGCGCCACGCCGCATCGCAGTGACGGAATTTGGATGAATCACTCATTACCATTGCGGGTTTCGTGACGCCAAATTAACCGGGATCATCAAATCCCAGAGCGATGAACCATCATGTGTACCGTTAGACCGACGATTTTCGACGTCGGTCGTTCCGTTTTTTTTTCGCCGTTCCAGCCGACTCATTTCGTCTCGAAGCTCGAAATGGAGAAAGGAGACACCGACGAGAGTTCCGCGGTCTGCTCGGTTTCGACGCGGAGATCTCCCGATTTATGTTTCCTCCGTAAACCTCTGGTTAAATTACGCGTTTTGGTCGAGGAAAACGAAATTTCTATACAGTATAAACTTTTTTGCACTTGTGTTAAAACCGACCCTTTTTAAAATTCTTTTCTTGAATATTTAATATAATTTTTAACCTGTGTGTTAATTTAACATATTATGTTTAAGTTATCTCAACACTTTGTATTGTGTCGATATTCAATACATATAGATGTTAAAATAACACATTTTATACTTTAGTGTCAATTATTAATTTTGTATTCTTTTTTTATAATATTTGATAATATTTGTGTTACTTTTCCACATATTTTATTCCATATATTCATTTTGTACTAAATTAACGCCAAAATTTGAGTGGACCATTTGGGACACGTGAAATGTTCAATTCAACACAGAATTTTTTACTGTATATTTCTCATGAACCAAATTCTCATAACCAGAAATTCTGTTTCCTTAAACTCGTTTGGTTATCAACTGAATTTATTTTTTCAGTGTATCTCGTCGTGCGACGACGAAAATCGTGACGTGTCACTGTCGAGGCCGACGGAGAACGGAAAACCGGGAAAACGAATATATTGAAAGAAAAATACTTGATATTTTTAACGATAATTATCACAGTGAAAGAATTATATAGTCAGCAAACCCAATTTTCTAGCAAGTGTTCTTACAGTATTAGCGATATAATAACCTTATCTGCATATTATTACCACTATTTTTGCGACTAAAACTATAAAAAGACTATAGGCTGACACCGACAATATATAATAATTATAATTAAAAATTACCAAATATCAAATTATCAAACAATTATAATTTCTCTCAGTGTAACATTCGTCACTGACCGAGAAGCCTTCATTCGATTAGCCGAAAATGGCTAATAATCGAGGCTCATAATGAATCCTTAAATTAGCGGCTGTCCCGTGGCACGCGGCTCATTTCCGCCGGGGTGCACGGCTGCGGAAATGAATGTGCGGTGCCGCCTCGCTCCCTGAAGCGAATCGATCGAAACGGTAAGCTAGCAGGTATGACCAAGTCTCGACCC